CCAAAAGAGGAAAATCAATGTCTAATACAACTAAACAAATGTAACTAAACGACACAAGTGTGGTACATACTATTCTGAGGACCAATAACTGAAGAATTCTCTTGATTCCATAATATAATAATAAAAATGATTTGCCATTTTTTTCTTAAGACACTGTTTTAGCCAAGCAATTTTCAAAAAATTAGTAATATGAAAAATTAGTTACAAATTGTATATAAGCAACTTATAATCAAAACATCTGATTCATCTACCGAGGTTGAAGAATGTCTCGGCCCATAGGCCATATAATATCCATGAAATACTGACGTCTGGCCCTGGTGCATGACAGAACAGACACAAATGTTTGTCACTGGCGGAGGCTTGTCTGCCTATATTGAGTGGCCTGCAAATGATGTCACACACATTCAATAGCCTTAGGCAGATAAGAACCCATCCCTGATTCCACCTCACTTCAGTTTTACCTCCAAGACAAGAAACCATAAAACAGAAATTACAGAAATTTTTCAATTTCCCAAATACCAAAAAAATTCAAAGTAGCTAAAGCCAGTTACTGAAAACCCTAATAAAACACAAAAAAGTCTATTTAGCAATATATATGCAACAGTCAAAGTTTTATAGTTGAGACCTAATTTTGTGTAATCAGATAATTTTTATGAAATCTGAGTCAGTGTCTACTAATACATCTCATGTAGAAATTAACAAAACTAGTCAAATAAAAGAATAACAAAAGGCTTTAACTGCATTCTAAATGAGTGACTACCGAACAGCAAACTATTAGCTTTAGTAATAAAGATCAAATAATCTCATGGGAATGAGTATTGCAGACTTCTATTAAAATGCATTGTACTTAATAAAAATGTCTTGCAGCATATCAGATTATGTAATGAGTGATTTTGAACATTCAAACCATACACTGGAAGACAAATATCAAGAAATCAAAACTATCACTGATAATCTTAGCAGATGGCTTTAAAATGTGAAATAAATCATATACCAAACTTCTTTAAGGAGTCACACGCTGCCATGCTGGGACCTAGTGATGCTCTGGGGTGACCAGTGCTATCCCTTGTGATGTGGAGAGCCATGTGTGGTAGAGGATCAACTTGGGCCTCTTGAGCTACCTACAGACATCTACCACTGGAACCATCAACCCACTGGATTCTGAACTGCAAGCACAGCTCTTGATGAATTTTTATATAATCTAACTGGTTTGCAGTTAGGAGACAGCAAAATGAACCAAATACCCAAAGAACCGATCATACCAGTATCTGTTAAATACTAACCTAACCAGGACCAAAACCATACAATTTCTAGCCTGTATGTGAAATTATGAAATGAAATTCTATGACGACTCTTCACCATTTACTTTCTAGTCCTGTCTAATGATAAACTTGTCATGAAACAAAACTACCTGTAAAATTACCAGGGAGATATTTCTATACTGTCTTTTAAAAACAAATCGAATTACAGATGATTGTGTCTTCTTGTCTGATCAGTATCATATAATGAGTACTCCGTGCTATTCACACAGAAGGAAACTGCAACAGACTCTGAGTCTCCCAAATATGGGGTGTGTGACTAACAGCTGAGAGGAAATACAACTGAAGCTGTCTGGAAAGCCATTAAAATCTAAGCACAGAAAAATGCCTGGGTGACAGTCGAGCTGAATGTGCAAATTTGTGCAGGAATGTGGCCAAATTTTTGGCAATTCTCTCCTGGTTCTAGATTTATGGACAGTGGCCTTTCATTTTTCCATTGTAATGCTGCATTTAAAAGACATTAAATGAATTACAGGACCTGCTTTGGTCTTTTAAAACCGAACGGGGGTGGTAACATAGCCCAATACTTGCCTTATATGTGGAAAGCTCAAGGTTCCATCCCCGGCACCACATAAAACACATAAAAATTGGTTACAAGCATGGATTTATAAAAGCACAATACTTCCAATGCTACAGAGGGCAGTACCAAAAAATATACATTTCACATAAGCAGCAAGGTGGGGCGGGGGGGGCAATATTAGTAGCTTAGGGATCAAAACATGTACTCGAAAGTATTCATTTCTAAATTTTCTTTTGACATTTAAATTTGTTCTACAAAATTCATTTTGTTGTTATTGTTTGGGGGGACATCCTAAGCATTCCGAGGAGGTCCCAGTGATACCTGGCCAATCAGGGTGGCAGATGGGCACTAGGACCCAAGGCTGTGGTGCTCCTCAGGCTCTGGGTACTCTGGGGGTACCTGGAGGCTGGGGGTGGTTGCTGCCAGGACAGCACCCAGTTAATGGGGCCATGTGGTTCTGGAGTTCAAACCTGGTGACCCCTAGCTCCCCAGTCCCAAGAGTCATTTCTTAAAATTATATTCCAAGAGCTTTTTGATTTCAAAATATTTTCTATTTAAGTCATATGTTCTTAAAACACATCTTTATAAATTTAAGTTGGTATTTACTTATTCTTAGGAAGGATTGACTCCATCGACTCCATTACAAATTGACTCCATTACAAAACCTTTAACAGCCCTTTTCTGACTATGTTAGGCCTCTTTTATATATTCCCAATTCTGAGCAATGTTTGATTAAAAATGAAAATGTGGAATTTTTCCTTCCCCTGATGCTTCATAATATAAATAGGGCAAACAAGTGTATTCAAAGATACAAAAATCCCATAACCAACTCTAATGAGTAACAATAAATTGAGCATTTTAAAGAAAATATATTTTACAGGTGAGTAATCACTGGTAAAATGTATACAGCACTTTAAAATTTGAAAAATGATAAATCACAGTGCCTAGTTTATAAAATGTATTTGGAAAATAAATTTTAAAAGTGATTATCATAAAATACACTAAATTCTCAACCCAGGTTGCCCTATAGAAAATTCCTTTCATTTTATTGATGAAGACTCTGAAATGAAGAAGAAAAAAAAAACAGGAAAAAAAATAGTGACTGAACCAAATTAACAAACTGAGTACTAAAGCTAATGGTCAAATTGAGTTTTCTAAATCCAGGCTGAACTACAATGTCCAAGTTCTTTCACATAAGCAATCTCATTTGATTCTTATAACCTAATGAAATAATAACAACAGACAACAGTAATTAACTATATGTTATGTAGTAGGCACTGCTCTATAGTAATTCTTCACTAACCTTTATATGACCACCCTATTTAACAGATGAGGAAACTGAGTCTCAAAGAAAAATCAGATCGCACAGATAGACAGGGGAAATAGAAGTTAAATCTGAGGCAACTAACTTTAGGCCTTCCTCTCCAACACTTCAGTCTTCAGTGCTCTTCACCAAGTTTTAAAAGTGCACCTAACTTCACATGGAAAGAAAATTGCAGAGGCCTGATGTCTTTCTTCATCCCAGCTTCTCTTCTGAAAAATGGCTAGAGTGCAGTAACTGGATCATTAAATCCAGAAGGGACAAGGAAGGTTTTGGTATAGTTCATTCTCTGAAGCAGAATATGTAGGTGACACTGGTAGGAAGAAGGAATTTCACCAGGAAAAAAAAAATTCTCCCATAGATTGGAGGGAGAAGAAAAAAAAATGTAAAGGCATATTTGTCATTCTGATTAAGGGAGTAAGTATGAATTAGGGGAGATGAAGAAGGATGACTAATTTTGGAAATGAGTAAAAGTGAATCATAAGACTATTTTGTCTTCAGAGAAAATGAAACAACTGAGACATTTGGTTAATGTCTCCAAAAGAACCCATACCTCCAGAAGTATCGAGCACACACAACTCAAATCAGTACTGGAAGACTTCGATTATGCTTTCCCCTCTGTGACTGAAATGTCATTTTTGGTTTAGCAGCTCCTTTTCACTGCTAAAAGCTTGCTGTGGTGCAGAGATATGAAGGGCAAGGAAATACAGGGAAGCATTAAGAGCAATCAAGGGTGGTCTGTTGCACATAAAGGTCTTCCTCCGAATTGTTATTAAAATGAGACAAAGGAAATCACAACAGAATTCCATTTAAATGAATAATCAGAAATGCCAAGCTAAACCTAAAGTACATGCCGAAAGTAGGATTTGAAACAAACGGAAAACAAAAATGATGGCAGAAACCAAACAGAGAGATGCCAGGACGCCAGAAATCAGCACTTTTTAGGAGACAAATGAAACGAGAACTACCTCTAATGGAATTTCTTCTCTCATGACTTAAAATAAACCAGGTCACAGGAATGGGCTTGCACTGTGGCATTTTATTCATTTTCATTTTCATTTTTATTGCATCAAACCACAAATTCCCATGAAAATACCCTGACACGTGCTCAGGATCATTGAAATGCCTCGCATTTGAGTATAAGTACTTCTGCATGTGTTCCACAAAACGAGAAGAATGCAGTGAGGTCCCCTCCAAGTTTTCGGCTTATGTCAACAGCTATTTTATGAGTGTGAATTATCTCGGTGGCTCTGGAGCATGTGTCAAACACATTACATGAGGCTGCGGGAAGCCTTCATGGGAAAGACCATGTAAGGATCTAAGTTATGAGCAAATGCACAGGAAAAAGCAAAACCCAGTCGAACTTCCTAGAAAATGGCAATCATCAATTTTTCCTCCCATGGCCATTGCTGTTAAATATACCTTGATGAATTAAGTTCAAGTGTAACTACAGTTGAAATGTATGATTCAACTGAGCTCTGACCTATTTTCCCTCTCAGAATAATGACAGTTGTGAGACTTATATTTTTTTTTCCATCCCAGGCTTATTCTGAAAGTTATTTCACAGCCGAGCTAATAGCAAAATGCATTTAGTGACACGGATTTGCTTATACTTATTTCTGCTACTGAGAATTTTTATAACAGCTGATCAAATGCTAACTCTATTTATGTTTTGAAAACTGTAGAGACCGGGAGACATTCAGGAAGGAAATAATCTCAGTATGTCATCTGATACCTAAAGTCTACAATTCATTGTAACTATATATTTACATACAACAAAACCGGAAATCAACATGACAGGTACAAAATCAACATATATATGTGGTTGAAAATAACCTACCCCTAGCAGAAAGCTTTTTGGTGTTGATAATTTTGGCAGCGTATTCTTGTCCAGTAGGGATTTTCATACATCTTCTGACCACTGAGAATGCCCCCCTGAAAACCAACGATTAGCAAGTCATCAATATAATCTGCTCTGATATTCCACTTTAAAAAAATCACAACAACCTGAGCAATTTTACCGATTTTTAATTTAGCAAACTGTCAAAGATCAAGGCACTGGAGTAATATCTAGAGAACTGAAACAATTCTTCCTGGAAACTCGGGCCCCCTTTAATATTGTAGAAAGTCAATTTTATTGAACTGGGAGCACACGTTATTAATCGACAAAAATCAAATGAAAGCAACTGCCAATTATGACGGCTCTTGTTTCCACATAAAATTTGAAAACACTTTACAGTTCCCACTCACAGAGCACCAAATGCTCCGAGCCAACCCTGAACGCGCAGGGCTGAGAAGGAGCAGCAGCCGCGGGCCGCCTATTTATCTTGGTGGGGCAGGAAAAGAACGCGGCTCCCACGAAGGAAATATGGCGATTGTTTTCATTAAAATATAAATCTTGGGAACATTTGGTGGAGCCCGACAGATCCCGGGAGGGTGATCTCTCTGTGCCCTCTTTGAGGCTGGGGGAAGGGCAGAGATTGGAATTAAGCTGCTCTTCCGACACCAGGCTCCATGTTCCAGCAGAGGACAATATATTCCCAGATCCCAAAGATTTCCCTGGCGTTTAGAAGATTTTCAGGTGTTTAATTCTGGGGGCTGGGGGCGGGGCAGGGGAGAGGGCAGCATCCCGGGGCGGGCGCGGGATGCCCTCTCCTAAGTGAATAGTTGAGACGGGCTTGGGGGTTGATGCTACAGAAATCAACGTTCAGGGCTTGGCCCCCCCGGGTCCTCCGTGGGTGTCCTGTCCCCTTCCTGCCCAGCTCCCGGCAGTTGTGCCCCGTCGAGGGTGGCAGAGGTCTGGTGCGCCAGCGCCAGTGCACGCTGGGGAGGCTCGCGCCGGGTCTCCAGAGGACTTTGGCGCTGCCAGTGTTCGTAAATCCTCCCCAGCAGGCGAAGATGCACGCAAATCCTCGGCAGGAGGATGAGCAGCGCGCCAGACGGGCCAAAAAAAAAAAAAAAAAACCCAACCCAGCGCATTGGAAATGGGGCCACCGGGGTCTAGCTCCCTGGGGGTGGGGGCGCGGGCGCAGTGGCCCTGCTCCTGGACAGCCGACTACTGGCTGCGAAATCGACCGCGCCGAGTTGAACTTTGGGCATCGATTAAAATGGCCCCGTCTTGTGGTGGCGGTGAAGTTCCCCTCGGAGAACGTGGGTCCATCCTGCCGGCCGGCGCGTCGACGGCCCGGCGGGCAGCATCGCGGCTTCCAGCAAACACGATCTAGGTTGCATAGGACATGAGTCCCGTTTGCCTGCACCCGCGCGCGCGCACACACACGCACACACACACACACACGTACACACGCACACACGCACACAGATATACACACGCAAACACACACACGCACACACACACGCACACACATGCACACACACGCAAACACGCACACACACATGCACACACATACACAGGCGCCGCACACACACACACACACACACACACACACACACACACACACCCGCTCGCAGGATGACAGCTCCCACCGCAGCCATCCACTCGGCTCCAGTGCGCGAGGGGCACACGCGGTGCCTTGGGGGGTCCGGTTCACCGCCGGGGTGGGTGCGAGTGGATTGGGGGGCCCTCCTCTGCCTCCAAGCCCCCCTCCTTGGGAGCACACCCCCCGCCCGCGGGATGGCCGTGCCGGGAGGACCCCGCTGGCCGTCTCCCCTCCCGCGCCCAGCGGTCCGGGGCTGGGGTGCCAGGCGACCCGCCCTCTGCGTCCCGGGGTGGCGGGCGGCGGCGCTTACTTTCCGAGCTCCTCGAACAGCTGGTACTCGTCCGTGAAGCGGGTGCAGGTGGCGGTGGAGGCCATCGCGGCGGCGGGCGAGACGAGCGGGCGCGCGGCGTCCCCGGGACTGGCCCCGCGGCGCTGTCACCCAAGGGCCGCCCTCACTTTCCCCGGCCGCGAGCAGCGCGCCCGCCGCCGAGAGTGCGCAGGGGCGGGGCGCGCCGAGCTGGCCGGGGAGGGCGGCGTGGGGTCTCCGCCACCCCGTCCTCCTCCCCTCTTCCTCCTCCTCCTCCTCCTCCTCCCCTACTCCTCCTCCCTTCCTCCTCCCTCCTCCCCTCCTCCTCCTCTCCTCCTCCTCTTCCTCCTCCCCTCGTCTCTTCCTCCTCCTCCCCGCCTCTCTGCCTCCTCCCCCTGCTCGGGACGCTCCCCGCCCCCTGGCCGCAGCCCCTCTCTAAGCCCCGGGTGCCGGGGGTCCGGGAGCGGGGCGCGGGGCGTGCAGGGGCGAGAGGCGCGGGGCCCGGGGCGGGGAGGGTCGGGCGGAGGCCGCGGGCGGGCGGACACTCGGCCGGGCTGCAGCTGTCAGCGAGGCGCGGAGCGCGCCGGGGTCTTCCTGCGCTCCCCACGACACTGCGCGGGGTGGATCCGCCTCCCGGGCCCGTGCCGCACGCACCCCTTCCCCGGGAGAAGCCCCCAGCCACGCCCGCTCCCACCCCTCCCTCTAGCGACCCGCCGGGGACCAGGGTTCCGCGGGAGGAAGGTGTGTGCGCGCGTGGGGGGACAGCGCCCCGGGACGGCTGCGGGGTGGAGAGGGGACGCGCCCCAGAATGCTGCGGGGGACAGCGCCCCGGGACGGCTGCGGGAGGACATAGCCCCGGGATGCTGCGGAGGATAACGCACCCCGGGACGGCTGCAGTGTGGTGGGGGGCGCGCCCCGGGATGCTGCGGGGGGACAGCGCCCCGGGACGCCTGCGGGGGGGGGGAGAGCCCCGGGATGCTGCTGGGGGTAACACGCCTCGGGACGACTGCAGGGTGGGAGGGGGGCGCGCCCCGGGATGCTGCGGGGGGATATTGCCCCGGAATGCTGAGAGGGGTACGCGCCCCGGGAAGCTGCGGGGTACAGGGGGAGCGCCCAGGGATGCTGCGGAGGGACATCGCCCCTGGATGCTGCGGGGGAAGAGGTCCATGGGATGTTATGGGGGGACCCGCCGCGCGCCGAAAACCAGGCGGCGGGGGTCGCGGCGTCGGATGCGGGCAGCCGTCGGATTCCCAAGGTGCCCGCGGGGCCTCGACCGTCGCCCCGGGCGCCGCGTTTCCTCCCCGGCCGAGGGCTCGAGGGGGCGACGCCGCTCCGGGCCACGTTTCACCCGGGAGCTGATGGCCACACGGGTTCCCTCCAGCTGCCGCGCCTCGACACGGGCCCGGCGGCGGCCATGCATGTCCAAGAGCACGAAAGCCACACACATGAAACGCAAACTTGAGGAACCAGACTCGGCCGTGCAGCCACACCTCGGCGCCGAGTAACTCCTGGGCAGCTCAGCAAGTTCTGATAGTAAGGCGCCTTCTCGCGAGACTTCCGGGCCCGGGGGCGGGCCGACAGGGGGAGGCGGGCTGTCAGTCACGCGGCGGCCCGGCCGGGGCTGACGTCACCCGCATCACGTGAACCCGTCTAGCCCGTTTCGCTTTGCCCAGGGAAAAAAAGCAAAGGAGAGGTCGCTGGATCGCTCGCTCGCTTCCGTGCCCCAAGGATCTGATCTGATCGTGGGACTTGATGTCTGTCCCACGGGCTGTCTGGAAAGTCACTTCGCCTCGCTAAAACGTGTCCTGCTTTTCAGCATACTTGCCATTGTTTATAAGAAGTCCGCGGGGAGTGGGGGGTGGGGGTGGGATGGAGTGGGGGGGGGGGGTTGAGCATTACGTTTGAATTAAATTGATGATGCCTAGACCACCCCTGCGTCTTCCTGCAGTCCCGTCTTTGATAAACTATGCAGTTGCGAATTTAAATGTAACACCCCGCCCCCCATACCACTTGCTTTAAAAGCTCCCCCTTCCCAAATTTCTTTTTGTGCCCCAGGACCCTAAAAGCCTTGCAATTCTATCGCACATTTATTCATCGTTAGTATTACATCCTAGGTACCAAATTTCACACTGGAAGAGGAAAAGATTTATTAGAGTTGGAGAACCAACGATGGAATCATGTTTACTTTCTGAAGCTAGGAATTAGTCAATTATCTTGGTCAAATTCATACATTATCCTAAATCTTTTATTTTCTGATTTTCAGAATGCTATTCTGCCTATAAGTGAGCTTTTGCCCAAGTGATCAAAAAATTTTTAACATTGTTTAAAAAGAGACAATAGAATCAAAATGGATTCACGTGCTAAGCCCCAAGTCACCTCAATCAATACTAACTGGATGTTTAGCCTTTCCCAGGAATAGAGTTCTAAACCAATTTGGAATCATTTGGTCAGCTCTAGTGAGATAATCTGCTTTATAGACTTCTTGCCTTCTCTTGAAGGAAGTTAACTTTCACAAACTACTTTCTTTTATTCTAGTCCTGTCAGTTGGTCTTTCAACCACAAAAGTCTTTGATTTTACACAGCTCATGGGTGCTTCCTGTCTGTCAGATGAAACTCTGCCTGATTCAGGAATTGCCGAAAAAAATCAACTAGAGCTTTTAAGTTTGCTACATTGAATTTTTTAAAAACAATGTTTATTATAACAAAATTGAATCTCGGCTATCTTTTGATTCCTAGCCAAAAATAGCAAGTATATTGTGTCAATATAGTGCTACAAGAAACAAACAAAAAAAAGAAACAAAGTATTTAAATGTTAATAATTGAAAGATTAATTTGCAAAAATAGAACAATTTAGTCTAGACCAGAAAGTTCCAATTTTTTTTAGTGATTTGTTTCCATGTTAAAATGCAATTATTTAATATTCTCGGAATCTGAAAATGAAACTAAAAAGTAACACAATTCTACAATTCTGGAAAGAAGATTGTTTTTAAAATATGTTAAGTAATAAGACTTGCATCATGACAGTATTAATCTCAGTTATTTAAACAACTGATAGTTGTAAATGGTTTTGATAACTGGATGATACCAGCAATGGAACATAACTGAGTTTTAATACTTAGTTTTTTTTTTCTGTTTTTTTTTTTTCCCTCCCGTTGATCATCGATTTGCTCCAGCGGGCCCAGTAACGTCTCCATTGGATACTTTGTTGTTACTGTGTCTGGCATATCAAATACTCTCGGTAGCTTGCCGGGCTCTCCGAGAGGGGCGGAGGAATCGAACTCGGGTCGGCCATGTTGGCTGTGCGCAAGGCAGATGCCCTACCCGCTGTGCTATCGCTTCAGCCCTGTGCTATACGTTAAATAAGATGTATGCATTTTTAAGCCAGCACTGCTTCATTTATATTTATACTGTTCCTTAATCCGTATCCCCACCAAAACTAATTAAAATATTTCTCCAACACAAATATTGCTTATGTTGAGAAATCAACATATATCTCCAACATAAAGAAATGAACTTATTTCTCAAGTTTGGACCCCCTTGGGACAGTTCATTTGAAGCACAGGAATTTCCCTGAACCCCTGACTTTATCTTCCTTACCAATGACTCCCTTCATTCTTTCTGTCCTTGCCTCCCTTCATTCCAGTATCAGCACGATAATTCCCTAACACCTAGAATAAAGCAGGCTTTGCTCAAAATCTTCTGTTGTTGTTGTGTTTTGGAAATGGGTCACATTCCTCAGGTCCTCAGAAATTACTTCTGGCAAATCCAGGAGAGAACAGGGTCAGCCATATACAAGATGAGTGCTTTACCCGCAGTAATATTCTGGGGTCCCACTCAAAATTTTCTGAACGCTTCCAAATCCCAAAATTCTAAAAATGTCCTAGATGCCCACCTCCACCCGTATCCCTTTTACCTCCTGACCTCAATTTGGGCCTTTGCTCATCTGCTCTTGACTCCTCCAACCAAGTCCAAACTGAAAGATATTTTCTGGCTCCTCAGATATCAAAAGAATGACAGTTTTCCCTAAAGATGTGAAATAGATGAGGAAATCGGTGCTAGCCAGACAAGGAAGAAAGCTCTCTCTCTCCCCATTACCTCCAAGTCCAAGGGGTAGCCTATTTGCTCTTCTATAAACACATGTGCAATCATGTATATCTGCTAAAAGATAGCAGGAAATGATATGAAATAGGAAGTGTGAAAGGAAACAACTGTTTAAAAGCTGGTACAGTCATTAATAAAGAAAACAAATAAGCAGATATTAAGTCTTCCTCTGCTCACGGGTAATGGCTTTCATTTACTCCTGTTGGACACTTATCACACTGGACTGTAATTAGGCTACCGGATCTCGCCTGGCAGGAATGCCATTCATTTCCCACACCAGCCTTCACACAAGGCCTGTGCTAAATAGGTGGTTTAAATAACTGAGATAAATATTGTAATTATGTAGACTGCATAATTACACAGATATTTGTTAAAAAATGAATAAAGGCCTACATCTGTCTTTGTCTTCCAAAAATATGAAAAATATCTAGTAGGGACACAGAGCGATAATACAGCGGCCATTTGCCTTGCAAGCAGCAGACCCAGGTTCGATCCCCAGCAGACCAAATGGTCCTTTGAGCTCACCAGGAGTGAGCCCTGAGCTCAAAGCCAGGAACAACCCCGAGCACCTGGCAGTGTGGCCTAAAAACAAGCACAAACACCTAGTAGGGTGTGGTTAAAACTCTTGGTTGCTATGGAGCATGGACCCCTTCTCCACTCTCAGGTTACTCAACTTTTTCATGTGTCATTTCATCCTCCTAACCTGAAATTCTCTGGTAGTTCCTCTCTCTCTCTTTCTCTCTCTCTCTCTCTCTCTCTCTCTCTCTCTCTCTCTCTCTCTCTCTCTTTCTCTCTCGTCTTGTCTCTGCTCTCTCCTCTGTCCTCTCTCTGTCCTCTGACTGTCTCTGTCTCTGTCTCTGTCTCTCCTGTATCTCTATCTGTCTCTGTCTCCTCTGTTTCTCTCTGTGTGTCTATTTCTCTTTCTTTCTCTCTCTCACCTCTCTGCTCTCACCTCTGTCCTCTCTCTGTCTCTGTCTCGCTGTCTTTTTCTGTTTCTGTCTCTCTCTGTCTCTATCTCCTCTGTCTCTCTGTGTCTGTGTCTCTCTCTCTCTCTCTCTCTCTCTCTCTCTCTCTCTCTCTCTCTCTCTCTCTCTCTCTCCTTTCCTAAGGACATTCACCTAAGCAAATGCAAAGTGCACTGGCTGTGGTAGAGGCGTCCTGAT